CCCCGTACTTTTAATTGATATCAGAGCTAGTCTCACACTTCTTTGCTTAACATCTTGTGAGAAAATATCATGGCAAATCAAGAAAACAAACCAGGAAGAAAAGAAGAAAACAATCGCTTTCAAGTCTATATCATCATTAATGATATTGATGATGACCCTGAAGCTCTTGAAGAATAGATTGCCATGGTATCAAGGAACATGGATGGTCTAATGAGAAGATACAGAAATACAAGAAGAGGTAGGATACCTCCCAGGCGAACCAGGCAATATAATGAAGAAGACAAGAATGATGGAAAATATTATGAGTGTGAAAGATATGTGCATGTTCAAGCTGAATGCCCAGATCTTAAAAGAAAGGTTTCTAGATGATTCAAGACGAATAAATCATTTGGAAGCTGGAGTGATGAAGACAGTTCAGAACCCGAATATATAGCAAATCTATGCTTCATGACACTCTTTGAAAACGACATGAACAAACTCTTAGGCTGCTGGACAGATGAAGATACATCAGACGACGAATGCAAAGATGATAATGAGAATTGTTTCATGGCATGAGGTGAAACAAGTGAGGTAAGATCTTAAAATTGTAAAAGATGTAATGAATTACAGGATATTCATGATATCTAAGTATCATTTTCCTTTGCGGCTCTTCCTATGGTGTTCCTGCAAAACATAATTATCACTTTCTTTTAGGTACCCAAGCTTGCTTGGGTCCTTGTTGGTTAGTATTACTAAGATCATGGTTGTTTTTTGGTTTCCAAATCCACCCTGAAGCATTAGATTTATGAAATCAACAAAGGAATTCTTATGTCCACTTTTATTACAATAGTGACAAAAAGGAGATGATCTTTTTTCCAATTGACTTGTAAATTGTCTGGTATAACTTGACAGAAAAATGACTGGTGGATTTACGCATGCCATTGAATTGCATTTGCAATTCCTGAAATTCATCTTGAAGTACCTCCTTTTTAATTTCACATACTTTAAGCTTGAGTTCCCAGTCTTTCTTTTCTTTGTTGAGTCTCTTTAGTTCATTCATCATTTTTTGACTCTTTTAAAGTATGATTTCCCTTTTCATCTTTGTCAAGATTTGTGACGGTCTCATTGGTGTGCCAATAGCTTTAGCACTGCTCATAATGGACTTTTGAATTAGCTCCTTTGTGTATTTCATCTTGCATATAAAGGTTCCTTCTTCATATTGTTGGATTCGAAGTCCAAGGAAAAATGTGAGCTCTCCCATCATACTTATTTCAAACTCACTCTGCAAGATTGGCAAATTCCTTGCACAAAAGAGGGTTACCACTACCAAAGATAATGTCATCAACGTAAACTTGAATAATAAGATTACCTTCTGATGATCTTTTGATGAATAATGTTGTGTCTACTTTACCTCTTATAAAGCCGTGATCAAGTAGAAATGAGCTAAGTCTTTCGTACTACGCTCATGGAGCTTGTTTAAGTCCATACAATGCCTTGGTCAACTTATACACATGGTAAGGAAACTTTGAGTCTTCAAATCTAGGAGGTTGTTTTACATATACCTCCTCCTGAATGAAGCAATTTAAGAAATCACTTTTAACATCCATCTGGAAAAGTCTAAATCTTTTGAACGATGTGTATACAAGAAGAATTCGTATTGACTCTAGTCGAGCTACTGGAGCAAAGGTTTCATCGTAGTCGACTCCTTCCTATTGTGAGTACCCTTGGGCTGCTAATCTGGATTTATTTCTCACAACCTTTCCATCCTCATTAAGCTTATTTCTTAAAACCCATTTTGTTCCAATTACAGTAGCGTCTACAGGCTTAGACAGTAGTTCTCACACTTGGTTTTTGTCAAATTGATCCAGTTCTTCCTACATTGCTTGTACTCATCTTAAGTCTTTTAGAGCTGCATCTATCTTCTTTGGTTCAATCTGAGAGATCATTGCTATATTTTCTTTCTTCTTGAGAGCTCCCCTGGTTTTCATTCCTTCACTTGGGTCTCCTATGATGAACTTTTGAGGATATTCTGGTTCACTTCTCCATTCATTTGGATGTGTTACGCTCGTATGAGTAGTTGACTCCTTCTATGATTCTAGTTGACTGTTGGTAATCTCATTAGTTGACTCTGTGACACCTTCTAGCCTGTTAGTCGACTCTTGAGTTTGCTTGACTGAGGTGTTTCTTGATTTTGATCTTCATCACCTGCAATAATTCCTTTCTCGTCCATAGTGTTATTTTTATCAAATATAACATGTACTGATTCTTCTATAGATAGAGCGTTTATTATAAACTTTAAAAGATCTACTATTTATGGAATAACTTAGAAAAATACCTTCATCACTTCTTGGATCAAATTTTCCAAGATTATCCTTACCATTATTGTGGATGAAACACTTGCTCCCAAATGGATGTAAATAACTTATGTTGGATCATTTACCTTTCCATAGTTCATATGGAGTATTCTTCAAGATAGGTCTTATGAGACATTTGTTAAGAATGTGGCAAGTTGTGCTTACTGCTTCTTCCCAAAAGTGATTTGGCAAAGAATATTCTAGTATCACAGTTCTCGCCATATCTTGCAGAGTTCTATTTTTCCGCTCAACTATTCCATTCTGTTGGGGTGATCTTGGAGTTGACAAGTTGCGGGTGTATCCTTGATCATTGCAGAAGTCTTCGAATGCTCTGCTTTCAAATTATCCTCATGATCGCTTTGAATGGTTGTAATAAGATACCCATTTTCTCTTTCAAATCTTTTACAGAAGATATCAAAGTTTTTCAAAGCTTCATCTTTGTAAGATAGAAAAATCACCCATGGAAAACGTGAGTAGTCATCAACAGTAACAAAAGCATATCATTTTCCTCCTATGTTAGCAGTTCTGGTGGGTCCAAACAAAACCATATGAAGCAATTGTAAAGGCTTTGATGTAGAAACAATGTCTTTGTTTTTTTCAAGAGTTTCTAGTTTGTTTACCAATCTAACATGCATCACATACATAATTTCTAAAAAAAATGAGTTTAGGAAGACCAATAACTAAATCATGCTTGGAGAGTTTATCTATAAGATGCATGCTTGCATGACCAAGTTTCTTATGCCATAACCATGGATCATCAGATATGGATATTAAGCAAATGTGACCATCTAAATTTTCAAAACCATCAAGAATATAAATATTTTCATATTTTTTTCCTGGGAGGATTATTTTACCTGTCTCATCTTCAATAGCACAGTCTATTTTCTTGAACTTTACTTCATACCTTGAATCACATAGCTGACTTATACTCAAATATTGTAGTTGAGTCCATCTACAAGGTAAACTTTGGTAACATCACCGTTGTTATTGAATAGAACTGTGCCAATGCCGACTGTCTTCCCTTTTGAGTCACCACCATAAATGTGTCAGGTTTTAGTCAGCTCCTAAGAAGTCACATCTGACTGTCGTAAAGAGAATAATTTGTTATCTCATTGGAACTATTTCTTACTGACTATGGTATCCACACTCTAACAATTTTAAACTAGAAGGTTTTTCATATGCTGATCTTGCAGGTGATAAGGAAGACAGAAACAGCACCAGCGAGACATGTCAATTACTTGGAAAATTACTGATATCATGGAATAGTAAGAAACAAGGATTAGTTGCACTATCCACAATGGAGGATGAATATATCGCAATTGGACAATATTGTGCACAGTCATTATGGATGTCTCATCAACTGGGTGATTATGAACTATTTTTTAAACCTATTCAAATATTCTGTGATAACTCTAATGCTATATGACTTTCAAAGAATCATGTGCATCACTCTAGGGCTAAGCATATAGATATCAGACATCATTTCATTAGAGATCATGTATTCAATAGATATATAGAATTATCATTTATTGGCACTACTGATCAATTAGCAGATATTTTCACTGAGCCTTTACTTGAAGATAGATTTTGTCTTCTAAGAGGACTACTTGGTATTATTAATGTAGCGCCTCCGATTTCCCTCTCTTTTCCCATCAGTTGCAGCTTTCAAGAAAGGAAAACCTATCATCATGACCTTTCACTGACGCCCTTTCCTTTCTTATACTCAACCGTCAAAATTCTGCCTTTTTAATCTCTGAACCACTCTTCTCCATCTCCATCATTCTTATCGCTCAGAAACCCTTTTAAGAAATCCTTCAAACTCCTTCCCAATAGTTTCTCCCATGGCTAAATACTCCAAAACCCTTCTGCCTCCACTAGAAAAAGTACTCGTTCCAGAGGAAAACCCTCTTCTCAGCCTCCAGAACTAGTAGACCTAGGGTCTGACCACTTAGAAAGGTTTGCCTCTTCTCAGGCAGAACTTTCAGATCACTCTCATCACTTAGGAGAAAAATCCCTAGGAAAAAGGTCCATGGAAGACCTCCATGAACCTCTTACCCCTAAGAAACCGAAATAGACCTTTCAAGTTCTCTAGAGTCAGACCTTAATTTTTGAGATACCCCAAACAGGGATTTCTTCGTTGCTCTGAAAGACAAGCCCATTGCTCATGGCAGAGTAGTCGACCTTGATGACATGGAAGCCCTCAATTTTAAGGTAAAGGATCTATTTGTCTTTCAAAGATGGTCAAAATTCCTCTTTGTACTCCCTCCTAAAGTCTATGAACCCTTAGTGAGAATGTTTTATCAAATCTTCGCTCTAGCAAGCCTAATAAGTTGGAATCCCTAGTTTTAGGTAAACCCATTATTCTTGATTGTGCTATGTTCGACTCAATTTTGTGTTATGGTTTTCCCATGCTTTTCCAGAATACTTGGCCTGATAACTTTGAAATTTCCTTTGATCAAGAAAAACATTGTATTGCTGAGTGTCCATTTGATTTCCTCCCTAACCAGTTAGGTCCCAATGATGTTAGCTTTGAAACCCGAGTTATTGTTGCAACCACTCTTCTTCCTCGCACTGGATCATTCTCCACCTTCTCTCAACGAGATACCTTTCTTGTTTACTGTCTTGTGACCAAACTCAAGATTAAGTTATCCTATTAGGTCATAAATTTCATGATAGAAAGTGCTGATGATCCCACCAGTTTTCCCTATGGTATGGCTACCAGTCACATCTTGGAAGCCCATAACATCTCTCTCTCTCTCTCTCTCTCTCTCTGAATACCCTTTTGTGTCTGTTTCAAAATCCTACAATTCTAGAGCGTTTGCTAGTATGGGTTATGTGTGTGTAAAGGGTGTCGACTCCCCCATTTATCTCTAACCGTGGGGTCAGAAATCGGGTATACGACATTGGGAGGACAACTCTATTCCCTTTCGAGAATTGGATTTAGAAGTTGAAGAGTCTCCACCTAATGATTATAATGCATTAGGACACTTTTTTAGAAGAGTTTGAGTTGGAAAACCAGAGTTCGGGTAAGGTCTAGAAATTATCTCGAGGGGAAAGTGTTAGGCACCCCTCAAGATCCACTAGCGTGGTTCCCGGCCATGTTGCAATTGTGACTTTACAAGTAAACAATCAAAGCTCAAATAAGGACTCACATATAACATTGCAATTAGCTTGAAAACTTTTGAAAGTATATAGAGAGGGTAGAAATAAAAAAAAGAGATTTGAATAATTTTACAAGAAAAGATGAAAGCAAATAAAGGGAGGGGGTCCTAAGTTTATAATTAATATGGATCACTTCAATGCAATACCCAGTGATCACTCCTCAGAAGAGTGGTCGCACGTGATATTAGTGCACTGGTCATCATATCCATATCTACCCTTCCCACCCCGTTAAGGTATTAAAGTGCGGAATGGTATCGTTACTTATTGCATGCTAGTACCCGTCCCACAATCCTATCAGTCTCGGAGGCATTGAGACTACTAATCCTAAAGGCGAGGGAGTTGGGGCTTTTGGGGAGTTTCAAAGGACAAAATACTAAGGCGTCAATCAAAACACATAATGCAATAAATGGGAGGGAAAATAAGCAAGTAAGGCTCAAGTAAACCTCCTTAAATCAGATAAGCCATAGAGTTTAGCATGTCTTGCACAATCTGATTTGGTCTGTATTAAACTTAAACGTTAAGGCAGGTTGATTTATTACATATTTTCAGATAAGAAGTCCGAATTAGGCCTGCCTGCTGGTTGTAATTATCAAAAGACTGATGCAGTTATAAAATTTTACCCTAAGGCTTGCCTGTGCGTTAAATAGAACCTATAGGCATGATATCTATCAATTTCAGGAAAAACAAAGAGAGTAAACTGATTGCAGAAAAGATTTGTTAGTTACAAAACATAAGTTCTGCAGGTGCTTACGCGTTATTGCTACTGATTTTAGACGAATTGGCGATTCAAGTTAGTTAACAGCTCCTATAGGCATGCTTTCTAAGTGTCACTGATTTTAAACACTGTTATTATTATACAGAAATCCTATAGACATGTCATCTATATGCAATTGGTTAGTTGTTTAAATCCTATAACAAGTTTGCCTAATGACGGATGCACATGCAAAATTGCAAAAAATCCTATAGACATGGTATCTATATGAAAGTGCAGAAAATCTTATAGGCATAGTATGAAAATGCAGAGTTTCAGTGATTTGTATAAGATGCAGAACTTTTAGAGACAACAATTCCTACAAGCATGATCTCTAGATGGGATACAGAATTTCAGAAATGATAACCCTTATAGGCATGATATCTACCCCTTGCATGCATAGT